CGAGGTGGACATCGAGGGGGACCCTGCGGCCGCGCCGGGGTGAGTGAGGGGCGCCAGGGTCCCGCTGCGGCTGGGCAAACGCGTCCCGTCCCCCCGCGGTGGGCGGGGGTCGTGAGGGGAGAGCCGCTCCTGGGGGGGCGGCCCGGGCCGGGCGCTTCCCGGGAGAGACCTTGGAGTGTCACGGAGTGCCCGTGGAGAAGGGGCATCGTCGGGAAGGGCACTGAGGACGGGGCTGTGATAGCGCTGATGTGAAGAGAATGAGGAACCGCCTCATGGGATCTTCCAGAGCCCGGAACAGCGCTGCGAGGCTGCTGGGAGAATCCTTAAAATACCCATGGAGAAGGTGCCGGGTTGTATAACTGTGTCAGGGAGCTCGCGGAGGCAGGGAGGCTCAGAAAGCTGAACACCTGCAGCGAGGTGCAGAAAACGGGCTCATAGAATGTTAACGATTGGAAGTGACCTTAAAGATCTTCTAATCCCAACTCTCTGCCATGAACAGGGGTATCTCTCACTAGAACAAATTGTTCAAGGCTTTATTAAAGCTGGCTTTGAACGCTGCCAGAGCTGGGACATCCACAATCTCCCTGGGCAACCTGTACCAGGGCATTACCATCCTCAAGTAAAGAATTTCTTCCTAATATCTAACTTAATTTTTCCCTTTTTCAATTGGTACTCATTAATCCTTGTCCTATCACTACAGTTCCTGCAGAGTCCCTCTCCAGCTTTCCTGTAGCCCTTTCAGATAGTGGAAGTTTGCTATCAGGTCTCCACCTTCTCTTCTCCAGGCTGAACAGCCCCAGCTCTCCCAGCCTGTCTTTGTAAGGGAGGTGCTCCAGGGCTCTTATCAACATCTTGGCTTCCTCTGGACTTGCTCCAAAATTCCATGGCCTTCTCATGTTGGGGACCTCAGAGCTGGAAGCAGCACCTCACTGCAGGTGAGGTCTCACCAGAGCAAAGCCCTGCTGGCCATGTTGCTTTTGATGCAGCCCAGGATTGTATTTGCTTTCTGGGCTTCAGCAAACTCACAGATAAGGGATGCTGAAGTGAGCAAGCAGTGACTCTAATGCCTTAAATCAAGCACTTGCAGGTGCTGGGAGAGAAGGAGAGGTTTGTACCAGAGACACACTGCCCCAGGTAGCCCCTGCCACTGCTGCACACTGGCTGCTGGCCACGGGAGCTCTTGGTCCCACCCTCTCCTGGGCACACTCAAAAAGAAGCAGGAGTTGTACTGATCTCTGGACATGGAGACTCATCCTGGTCCTTTATCCTATAAAGAGATGTTTGAAGTACTGCACAAAGCAGTTCAGAGCAGTAGGTGAGATTAATTTAGTAACACTGCAGGGAATATAGGGCTAGTCTTTAGACTGAATGTTCTGGAAGTAAAGATTTTTGAAAGCAAGTAATTATACTAATTATTAAGATGATCTTATGCTGCATGAAAATAAAATGTAGTTGATCAATGAAGTTAATCAATGACAGACCTCTAATTAGTAGTTATTTACAGAAAATATTAAATATAAACTGGAGGAAGTCTATATGAACACGAGATTAACTATTGGGAAGAAGCTCTTCCCTGTAAGGGTGGTGAGCCCTAGCCAGGTTGGGCAGGGCTTGGAGCAACTTAATCTGGTGGGAGATGTCTCTGTCCATGGCAGAGGTTGAAATGAGATGATTTCCCATCCAAACCATTCCAGGATTTTATTCTATGGTTCTAAAATCCCTGTTGACAGGATTCTATTAAACCTTGTGCAAGTAGGAGCTCTCCTCAGCAGGAAAAGCAGTTTGCCTTCACAAGAAAATGCTTTTACGTTGTTGGGGGTAAGATGTAGAAATGTTAAGTGATGATAATACAACTCAATGACATTCAATATTAAAAATAGTTCTGAACACTGGAATCTCTTTCAGAGATCATGAAAACACAGCATCAAGCCTGCTGCAGGATCACTATCTCGATTCATCTTGGAGAACTGGAAACAGTCTTGTAAGTATTTTTTTAATCAAAATTTTAATCATTGTTTTAAACACTTTTTTAACCTTGTAGCGAGGTTATCAGAGCTTCTGTATTCTCTCCTCCATCCATGTACATGCTATTTTACATTTTTAACCAGTGCTTCCTCCTTACTTTTAGAAACTATTTATTGTCAGTACTCAAGTACAGTGTGACAGAATTCAGATATTAAAATGTATTTTTGTTGTTTGCAGCCCTGGACACTGGACAGCACCATTAGTGAAGAAAACAGGGCTGTCATTGAGAAGATGTTGCTGGAAGAAGAGTATCCTTTTTCTGATTTGGTTTTATGTTTTCCTGTGGAATGCCAAAAAACCTCCTATTTCCAAAAGAACTGGACAAATCTTTCCTTCTTAAGGTGACTGAAGCCCTGTCACCTAGGTAGATTGCAGAAATCCTGCTGTAGAAACTTCATTGTTTGTTTCTACAGCTGGGTAATCCTGAAGCAGTGTAATTAATTTGATTATTAAAATTCCCACAAGTACAAATATCTCTGCTTCTTTGAAAACTTACTTAATGACTATTGCAGATATTATTTATCTAATAAATCGCTTTCTGAAAAAATATGGCTCAACCAAAAGGAAGTAGAGAAAAGATCTATGAAAAGGTAAGATCTCTGGGAAAAATTCTTAAGTTAGCTGAGTAGAAATGAAAAGTCCTTCTGAAATAAGGTTATTGCTGGATATACACCAGCAGCACAATTATTAATTTTTATTTTCACTCTTCTGTTTGCAGCCCACATAAGAAAACTGGAAAAGTCATGTACGTACATTTTAACGATTGAATTGTGTTTTTAACTGTGGTGACAGGAAGAAATATTGCTGTGTGTAACAAGAGGCTAGATCAAACCAGGCTTTGGGGGAGTTTTTGGTAGCACAGTGGTCCTTCTGATAAAAAATAGTTAATTCTAGTTGCCTTTTTACCTGAACATTTATGTTGCCTGCTTTGATGTATTTCTGTGCCTTGATCGCTTATGAATATTGAGTTGCCTTGAATCTTCCATCATAATTGAGAAGCTGATGTGATTCTCAGTATTTTATTTATGAGTCACATTCATGTTTAGAGCAATGCTTTGAGTTTTGCCAAAGATGGGGAATAGTCCTGTCAGAAGGTGCCTTGAGTGACTGGAGAATATCTGGATTTGGGACAGCCCTGATTTCTGCTTCCTGCATTCCCAGGGTGCGTTCACCTACAAAATCACCTGGCTGCTCCTTGAAGTGGACTGCTTCCTGCATTCCCAGGGTGCGTTCACCTACAAAATCACCTGGCTGCTCCTTGAAGTGGACACCAGAGGAAAAAGAGCTGTTTGAACAAGGACTGGATAGATAGATAGATAGATAGATAGTATTTTAAATTGAATTAATGAGTTTATCTTGAACAGTAAAGTAGTTGACATGAATGAGCATGTCGTACAATCACAATGATGCATTAACTATGAGAAGTATAGTGTGTTCTGAAGGCAAATCAGGTGATAAAGTAAAATCCTTTACTGTTGTGAGGTCTGCAGAGATTATATGGTTGGGCCAGTTGTAAAAGGGTTTGCTTTTCCAAGCACAAGGATTCCTTGGGATAGTAGGCAGCAGAGTACTTGAAATATGTGAAGAAGATTCCTTTAGTGAAGAGTAACAATAATTCTTACTATTGGATGCAGTTTCCTTCTTGGTAGAACATAAATAAATAGTGAGGTTCTTTACCATGGGTTTCCTGTACTGTTTGTGTATTTTCATGAGTAATGAGGTTTTGAGCTCAT